GTCTTACTGTTAAATTTAAAAAAATAATAATAGATTCATTATAAAAATCAGTTTTACCAAACTCTTTAGAATGTTCTCCTACAAACCTAAGCTCCCTGAACAGTGCGTTAAGCAGAGATTTTCGTCGTGAAGCATAAATGCTTCGGAATCAATAATAATAATTTTTAAAACACAGCAATTTAAAATAATATAACATTGAAGTTTTTGTTGATTGTAACAAAAATTACAGCTCTAATTATACTTAAATTCAAAAGATATTGACTGGTTTTTACTAAAATAGTTATAGAATGAACCTGATAAAATTTATAAAACAAACTTTCAAAAATTGTTCATGGAATAACATGGTTCATCAGAGTTTTATATTTTATAAACTCATCAATATAGTTTAAAATTTTACCACTTTTATAAATTGATGTTAAACTTGTAGATTTTCGAAAGATTTACTTTTATCTAGAGTATGTCTAAGCCAAAAAATCAGTTTTCTTGAACTCTTTAGAATAACTTACTACAAACCTGTTTTCCCAAAACAATGTGTTAAACAGATATTTTTATTGTAATGCATTGCAAATGCCTCAAAATCAATAATCACTTATATTAAAGTAATACTAATAATAAATACTTACTTTAAAAATTTATTAAAACAGAATTCTATATCATATGAAACTAATTCAGTAATATTTCAAGATCATTTTTCAATATAACAAATACTTAAAAAAAGTTATAGGAAAAAAGTTATGTATATATTAAAATAATAAGTCAATGAATTTTACTAAACATAAACTTGTAAATTTTTCGAAGATTTACTCTTATCTAGTGTTAGGTCTAAGTCAAACTTTTTGTCAAAGGCAAATTTTTAAATAAAAATATTTACTTTCTGCAGATGATGATGTTGTATAAGAGGTTCTTACAAAAGAAGTTCTCGGCAAGGTATCGAACCAGTCTTTTATACGCAGTATTTATACCATCTCTTGACTCAAAAACAGAGGAAAACGGATATTTCAAATTAGCAACTTCTGTTAAAAAGTATCAATTATCAGCGAAAGATCAATGGCAAGTCTATTTTCTACCAAAAAAATTCATGGATTAAATTTTATAGATGAAAAACATCGGATATAACTAGTTGGATTAAACATAGTAATTTACAAAAGCTATTAAATCATTTCACGACGTATAACGAAATATTTTTATTTAAAGGTGGATAGATAGGAAGAAAAATCTTTTTAAAAACTTGAGCTACAGAGCTATACTTATTTAGACATCGAAGTTCTTCAGTGCCAAAGATGAGATAATATTTAAAAAATTGTTATTGCCACAAATATCATAAAAAGCATTGTTCTCTTTGTGATGTTTAATAAATAAGTAAAAAATATAATTTAAATAATTATTATATTGAACTATTTCCCTATTTTACTTTGTCTTATTGTTAAAATATTATTTNATAACGAAAGAAAAATATAAAAATAAAAGAAGTAAAAGTAATTTTAAAAACTTGCGAATTTGTATCGATACAAAAGCACGAAATAAAATGCTATAAAACAGAGATTATTAAACTGAAGTGTGTCTCCGCCAGTACTTTGTTAACAATAATTCTCTAACTTAATATCAATTTAATAGCAGAAAAGTTCTTAATAAATGAATTTATAAAGACACCTGTCTTTGTAATTTTATTTTTTGAGGAATTTTCTGGTGTACTGCGCGATCATCTGCCATTGTGTAATGTACTGTACCGTACAATGTAGAATACAACCGAATTCAGAATAAGGTTAAAAATTGCAGCAGATTTTCATACATATGTTTAGAGCAAATGAGAGTTCGAATGAGATTTAACAAATTCAAACGTACATCATCCTATAAAAAGTAAACTCATTTAAATTCAAGTTTTTACTTGTTTACGCTAAACTACTTGTTAGGACTAGGATCGGAATAAAATTAAAGCTTAACCGCACGGCCATCTTGCCGTCTAACCATGATGGGCTTTTAATTAATTAATTTAAATGCCATCTTAGTCACTACAGGATGGAGAGAGTAAAATAAAGAAGAAAGCTTTCTTTGACGTAATTGTATTTAATTTTTATTAATGATTATATCTGAATCACGTATTCCAAGAAAGATCCAATTCCACAAGTTTCTTTTTGGAAAATAAAACTTTTTACATTCTAAGAATTAGACTAATTACTTAAACATTTTAAAAAAATATACATTTTCATATTTATGATCGGCCTATTTGTGTTTTCTGTTTTCTGCTCATAATTATAAATTGTAAATAATTTGTTTGAAATTATTAGCTAAAAGTGAAATAGTTATCGGACAATGAGAGAAATAGAGAATAACGACTTAATATGTTGTGATTTCTTTAAAAAATAATAAACGTTTTGTAATTGCATATTCTCCACAGAACGACGAAAATCTATTTCGTGTAAATGTGCATTTTAGTGTAAAAGTTTTTAGCTTTTATGTTAGGCTTTCCTCAACTCTTGAAGTAGTTCTGAAATAGTTAAAGTAACTAGCAATTTTAGAGATTGTATTAGTACAACTTTAAAATATGTACTGAATTTTAAAGTTGTACTAATTAAGAAAAAAATGTCCAGTAAGTTTCCCCTAGCAAACATAATAACAATCTACCTATAATTGGCTGAGTGAGAGGAAGTTTCAGTCTTCAATCCTATCTTTCCTCTAACTATCCTAAGTATTCTTTCCAAAATACGGGGTAATGTTATCCATACAATATTATGGTCAAGTATGTCATGTGAGTAATGAATTTATAGTTAATGCAAACAGTAATTTTTTAGGCTATTTACTTAGGGATGTTACAGAACGTTCAAATAATAATAATAATAATAATAATAATAGTAATAAAGCGCTTCTCTCAGTGGAAGAATATCAAATTTTATCTCTTCCNTATAAAGACACCTGTCTTTGTAATTTTATTTTTTGAGGAATTTTCTGGTGTACTGCGCGATCATCTGCCATTGTGTAATGTACTGTACCGTACAATGTAGAATACAACCGAATTCAGAATAAGGTTAAAAATTGCAGCAGATTTTCATACATATGTTTAGAGCAAATGAGAGTTCGAATGAGATTTAACAAATTCAAACGTACATCATCCTATAAAAAGTAAACTCATTTAAATTCAAGTTTTTACTTGTTTACGCTAAACTACTTGTTAGGACTAGGATCGGAATAAAATTAAAGCTTAACCGCACGGCCATCTTGCCGTCTAACCATGATGGGCTTTTAATTAATTAATTTAAATGCCATCTTAGTCACTACAGGATGGAGAGAGTAAAATAAAGAAGAAAGCTTTCTTTGACGTAATTGTATTTAATTTTTATTAATGATTATATCTGAATCACGTATTCCAAGAAAGATCCAATTCCACAAGTTTCTTTTTGGAAAATAAAACTTTTTACATTCTAAGAATTAAACTAGGTTTTTCTAGTAAGAATTTCTAGACTAATATTTGGTACTTTTTGATTAACTACAGTTGACCCCCCTATAACACTGTTGATAATTCCGTTTTATTTGATTCTGATGAAACCGTGTTGTTGTTATTAAGCTGTTTCTTTGCAGACACACTAAGGTGACATATATCAACACTTGGCAACTTATTGACTATTTATTCACCAACTGAATAAATAGTCAATAAGTTGCCAAGTGTTGATATATGTCACCTTAGTGTGTCTGCAAAGAAAAAAATTCCGTTTTATATGAATTTCATGTTGTATGAGTCACTTAGATTTTACAAATACGTGTGCCGAGCTGTAAACTGCTGACATATTTGTAAAATCTAAGAAACTCGTACAACATGGAATTCATATAAAACGGAATTATCAACAGTGTTATAATTACGTTTTCTGTCAACTTTGTATATCATATACAAATGCATTGCAAGTTTCATATCTATCTCTTCTTTTTATTTTATATCAAATCCATAAATCAGCCGAAGCTATTCGGCATACATCTATGTTGTTATCCAGAAACTATTTTAAAGTGTTTAATTCTACTTCGATAGATAATAGAATGAGAAGTACAAATAAAAAGTAAAATCGCAAAAAAAATTAAATTGTACTTTTCGTTATTACAGAAAGTTACGAACGACAAAACTGAATGATTAACAGAAGGAAATCATCTAAGAAATAAGTTGCATTTTGTGCTTCCCTGCCGGCATCGAATTGTTACGACTGCTCTTGTTAGCTCTACTTTCCAGAACACAGGCCTGATTATCTAGATGGCATTGTTTAAACCGGATCTCCAGGGTGATAGACTGACTACGCAACTGCCTCGCTATTTGGCAAATCCACTAAGGTTATATCAATACTGTATTAGATCCTACAATGCGAAAACAATAAAAGTGGAAAAGTTATATGACACATTTTAAAATGCATCTCAGTTAATATTAAATGGAAAACGAATGTAATGAATAAAATATATTATGTCAAAGTGCCTACTTTAAAAGTCTTTAATCTCTGCACTATACCTGTCATTCGCCTTTAAATTTACATTAAAACAGCCTGCAGATATTACGCAAGAAGTTGTGGTAGAATATTGCAATTTTACCAAAGTACTTCTATTGAACTACTCCATTAATTTTTAATTGGATTTTTATATTTTAATTTTATATGCTACGTTTCTAATAACCATATTTGCTATACCATCTTGTTAATATTACACAGAAAACGTAAGTGTATAAAGTACCATTGATTTCAGATACGTTCGTAAGTTATTGATTGGAATATTAAATTATAATGTCAATAATCAATTAATAAATAGAAGGAATTTTGAAATTAATGAATTAATATATCGATTCTTAATAAATTAATATATCGATCGTTTTGGAAAAAAATCTTTCTTAATGTATATCGATCGTTTTCCAAAACGATCGATATACATTAAGAAAGATCTTTTTCCAAATTCATTATTACTAACTCATCGTTTTAGAGTTCTTTTCGTCAACCATTCCTGGTAATTCTTACGGTATGAATAACAATAANCGAAATAATGGATTTCTTTGGTATTCCTGCATATATTTTGTTTCCTTTGGGCCTTTTCTTGGCTTTTTATCTGTAAGTACATCATTGTGATCTTGACCTTATTTACTTACTTACATAAATATATAATTTAGATTAATATTAACTAATAAACATAAATTGTTAGAAATAATGTTTTATTTTAACTTTTCAAAGAAACCATTTGACATATGACATGCGTACTCTATTCACAATATTTAAGAAGATAATTTGTAATTTCTTAAATACAGTACGTTATAATATAATAAAAGATAAAATGGTTTTAAGAATTTACCAACAGCATTCTTTTACACATGATATAATTGCATCGTTAATATACTAAAACCAATATTTTGTTATATTTATAGTATAATTGTAATAATAAAAATTGCTTGTATAGGTATATGACGAGGAACTTTGGCTATTGGAAAAATCGAGGAATTCCTGAAGTGCCTCCAAGATTTTTGGTTGGATCAATAGGTTGGAATATAAAATGTGTAAGACAGTTTTTTATTATTCTACAATGTAAAAACATTTCAAATTACTAAATATAAGTTAAACTGAAAATTCCTTATCCATCTTTATTAAAATTATTTCTAGAATCAAGCCAAACAAGAACAAGAATGGTATAACAAATATGGAAAAATATTTGGGTAATAAAAGTGTTTATTTTTAATTAAACTATTAGGAAAGTAATTTTTTATCTTTATAGAAAACTGAGATGCAAGTGATTTAAAAATGTTACTTAAAACCACATTAAATTATTTAAACATTTAATTTTTATAATTAATACTTTCTTAGTATCAAGTAACATTTATATTAGATTATAATAATTTTTATCGATCTGTTATAAGAATAAATTGTTTGATACTTTAAAAAAAATGAAAAAATTATATGAAATGACGCAAATGATGCGAAAGAAAGAACCAAGTTACGCACTATTTTATAATTGTGAATTGAATGTGACGTTAAAGATTACATAAGAATAGATAATTTAGAACGAAGAGAGAAAAAATATTCTTAGGTCATGCAGAGAATGGGAAGAATCGAATTAATCTTACATAAAACACTTATGAGGTTTAAATGTTTTGATCAGAAGTTCGTTAAGAATTTTATTTTTAATTAAAAACGTCATAATTTATATTTGCTGATAAATCGCGCACTTCTAAGTTATAATACGTTTGCTTTATTATCTTATTGTGTTATCAAAATCGTAAATATTGATTCATTGTACTAAATTAGAATTAAAAAATGTTTTTAATTAAATATGTAATTAATTTACTTATTTTAATAAGAAAGAAAGAAATAAGCAAATTCTTAGATAATTTAGTGGCAGTGAAACCAAAAATGTAATTATTTACACGATGGAAGGAATGGATTGAAAAACTACAGAAATTCTACTTCGATAATATTTGAATATTCATAAAAAAGGTATACTGGCAACACTCTAGGCTATATGATGATGCCATGTTCAATATAACTTAAATATGGTAAAAAAAATTATTTTTAGAATGTGTTTTCTAATTAAAACTATCAGAAATATTGTTGCATTTTCCTCAAATTGTTATTTATTAAAAAAATAATAATTAAAAACTCTTTACGAAAATTAATTTAAAATTTGTATAAATAAGTATAAGCAAGAGTATATTTTACATCATAAAACAAACCAAATTATTATCGATAAGATAAATGGTATTATGATTATTATTTATAGATAAGGTAATAAAAATTAATCTATTAGTATTGTCTACTTAAAAACTTATCTGATTTTTATAAATTCACTTTATAATAATACACACGTGATGTTTTTAAACTTTTCGAAACTTATTTAAAATTGGTTCGGAATTTTCAATTAAGAAACGATAAATGTTCTATGAAAATTGGTGCTTAATCTGTGTTGAATAAAATTCATCATGCCGGGCTGTAATTTTAATCATATTTTTAATTTATTTAATTTAAAATATGTACTCTCCACCTCAAATTAATATAGTGCTTTCTTAGCCTTGTACATCGTACTTTTCCTTTAACAATAGAGTTGTGCCGCTCATCTATTAACTGCTTTCAAACGAAAGGATTTGAATTGAAATAACCTTAACTTCTGGTTTGCTTCGGACGTTCGTGTATAGTTAATGGGGCTTCTTGCCTCTACGATTTCCATATCTTGTCTTCAATTTCATTTATCTAAAACGATTTTCGAGATTAAGGAAAGAAAAGCAGACGGACAAAGGTCGATAGTGAGAAATTATAAGTTTACAATTTTTTAAAATTGCAGCCTAATTTTTTAAAATTGCAGCCTAATTAATGTCACATTTTTGAAAATACAGATACAAAATATCTTGTGTTACCGTAAATTAATATAAATGTTGGCATTATTTAATCGAATTGTATGCTGTTTTTAATATATAAATTACGTTTATACTTTTTATATTATTAGCATTTATGAGGGATCGCAACCCACATTAATGATAGCGGATCCAGAATTGATAAAGACTGTTTTTGTGAAGGATTTTCATTATTTTAAGGATAAAAGGGTAAATATTAAAATAATGATGACACTAAGAATTATATATTATCATATTTGTTATCAGCATTTTCTTATCAGTATAATAAAAAAATTCAGAGCAGTCTTTCTATAAAACGTATATATTAACTTGTTTTCATCCGAATATTTAATATAAAGTTGAAATTATATTAAAATTTAGAATTTTCGTTTTGGAAATCCAATTTTGGACAAGGGATTATTCATGGAAACTGGAGAAAGATGGAAACAATTAAGAAGTATGATGACACCCAGTTTCACTTCTGGAAAACTGAGACTAGTGAGAATTATTTTTCCTTTTTTTACTTCAGTTACATATCAAAATATATATTAGAGTAAAATTTAACAGCATGAAATAAATTTTATGTAATGGATTTTTCCCGAACTCTTTGTAGATGGATAAATCAGTCGATGACTGTTGCCAAACATTTATTAACAATATCATAGAAGAATCCAAAGGAGGAAAGGAAGTAGATGTTACTAAGTAAGTACATTGTTAATTTTATTTTAGTATTATTTTCAATTAAATTATACCTGCGTACATATTCAACGATGTCTTTGCGATAGACGGTCGAATGGTGAACAGGTAAAGTGTCAGCTTTGCCGTTCTCCGAATTGGAAAATGAAACTAATCGATGCAAAAAACTCCAGGAAATTGTTAATAGTAATCTTTTCTCCTAATGTAGGATCCAGTTTTTCCCCACGTGGGCCGCCATATTGTGAAACACGATGACCTTGATAGAAAAAAAGACTCTCTTAATCGCCACAGGGCTAAAAATGTAGAAAAATCTTTGGGATAAACTGCCGGCTGAGATAACCGCTGGTTTCGGTTAATTAAAATTTATTCCATAAATCAGAGAAGAAAAACGATGGCTGACAAATCTGATTCGGATATGAACAATTTTTATTATTTCTGACTATTTAAGCAAAGTTTACCCTAATATTGGCAGAATATCTTTCAAAACGATCAAATATTACGTTATATAGCGATTGTAAATTTCAAGAATTGCTTTCGATTTTAAAATACTTTGTTGTCTACGTAACGTTAGCGAGTTTGAAGTGTCGAAGTCTATATAACGTAATAATATATCATATTTTATTATAAAGTACAGTACGTATATTAAAATATCGTAGATAGTATCTTACCATGTCTACTCTTCAATCCGTCCCACGCTTTTGCTTATTCATTTTTTTCTCTTTCATCTTGTTTATCGTGCTTTTAATAAGACGACTGAGCAGTTAGAATTTTTCAGCAAATGGGTGACAGCTCTCCACTGAGTGAAAGTACATTATTCTGCAGTTTAATCTCGTTTTTTGTTTTTGCTTTTTCTCATGCTGATATGAGGATAACATTCACATCTTTAATCTGCCTTCTCCACTTGTCTCTATCCAGGAGTCCTCTTTCCTCCATCCCCTCTCTCCAAATCCTCTGCCACTTACTTGTCTTTTCATTTCAGCTTCGGTCTTTTCAACATAGTCCAACCCAACTTTCCAATCCACTTTCCAACGTAGTCGTTACTTCTTCCTTCTCATGTCCAAACCACCATAATTTAATTTTCTGCATATTCCTACTTATAGGATCCACCTTGACAGTTTCTCTTATGTAATCGTTCCTAATCCCGTTCTTCTTCATCACATAACACATCCACTTCAGCATTCCCATTTCATCTGTCTCCATCTTCTTTTTCTGGGCTTTTATTATTGGCAACGTGTCAGCACTGTGCGTCATTGCCGATCTTATTATGGGTATTTTTTTTATTCTGCAGTTTAATAAAAAGCTTAAATTAACTTTACAGATAGGTATTTTGTAGTTTAAATAGTAACTTGTGCAACCGATAATTAATTTTATTGTATGCATATTACTTATCGTATTTATAATGTGTTATTTATAATGTATAAGACATGGTTTGTACATGCTGTTCATTATGTTACGTTTATTATTCAGGTTTCATTTTTATAAAACTCGAATTCTATAAAATAATAAATCTGATAGGATTAAAATATTTCTTCACTTCATTTCTTTTCAGATTTTCAAGTACTTTTACAATAGATGTTATTGCTAGGACTGCTTTTGGAATTAAACTTGATTCAAGTAAAGATCCAAATAATCCTTTCGTAAAGGCTGCAAGAAAAAGTATTGGTCCAATTCCTTGGAGATTTGTACTTGCAGGTATGTTAAAACAATGAAGAGTACTAAAACATAAAAATTGCTATATTTATTTATTTTAAGCATACTGGTATAACTATGATGCGAGGAAAAACATACAAAATTTATACAAGATCATACAATATATCCGTTAATACAAAACACATATACACAACAAAAGGTAAATTCAATCCGAAACCTAAAATTGGGAAAAGTATTCAAAATAAATAATAAAATTATTGCAAAAACCTAGGCTGTATCTTACCTAGTAAACTAAAAATAATTAGATTACTTTTTTTACAAATCGGATAGTCTCCACATAACCAAAGCTAACCGCCGGTTAAATAATATGGAAACCACAATCCCATGACGAAAATTAGCATAAAATTACTAACAAATTTTCATTATGAACCTTAAAAAAAGAATTGCGTACTTTTGCTTCTCAGTGATCTTAATTTCATTTTTATTTAGTAATGCAAAAATTTTTCTGCGTTCTCCCTCGCTGCCGTGACATTTCCAAGATCTTTCATCTTTTTTCTTCGTTGTTTTTATTTTCCTCTTTTCATTTTCTGTTTTGGTTGCTTTTGCTCTTTCCTTTTGTAGTATGAAGACTCTCCATAATTTGAATGTAATAGAACTTGGTGGACGTTTTTTTCGTTCACGTTTTTTTTGTACTAATTAATCGTGGCTAATGCAAATGATGGAAAAAGCCAGGAGACACGTTTCAATTTGATGTGTGTAGAATTGCTGGAGATATATTTGAATCGGACTGGATTGCTTCAGAATTTTCAAAACTAGATGCGGCGCTGATAGACACTTTTTAGCCTCTAATAGCGGAAGGAGTATCAGAGAGTGCTTTCTTCGTATACTGATTTATTTTGTGTTTTTGGAGTTTGCTTTTTACTGGTGGCAATTTTATGCTCTAACACCTACACGATTTTTAAAACTATGACTTATACAGCTGTTAGTTTTGTTATTTTCAGTTTTTATGGATGATTTTGATTGGCTTGACATTTAAATATTAAATATCCTCGAATAACAGGTATTGGAAAGCCGGCGTGCATCAGTGATTGATCACTGTTATTCGGCGCCAGCCTAGTTGCACGATCGTGTATGGCGGTCGACAACTGAGTTTTCTTTTATCGAGAGTCTCGTGTATGTAGCAACTGTGAAAGGGAGACCTGGCACGTTTATTTTCAATTATGGACACGTCACAAAAAAAGTAACGAATTCCAGTACAGTACTTGACCATTACGGTCGAACATGCGAATTTACGACGTTAGTATAAACAGTAGTCGACAACCTCATTATTTACATATTAGATTAGAATTTACTATTTATTTTTATTTATTTATTTAGTACAAGGAAACCCTGTATGTACGGGCTATTTATAACTAGGGTTGCCATCTGTCCGGGTTTGCCCGGGAGACTTCGGGATTGAGTTAGTTATCTCCGGGCTCCGGGGTTAATTAATATTTCTCCGGGTTGTGCAAGTTGAAATGAATATGTACAAAATTATATGCAAACCGTCGCATATATTTCTTCCCCCGTGTACCGAATTACTAGTGTGGTAGTCGTTGGCTTATAGACATAACGTCTATAACTGGCATAGGCTCAGTGCTGCTGCATGCTATGTAGATGTACTCTTTCTTGTGATTGTTCTGTCAAGAGATGTCTATTGAGAGTGAAATGATATAGCGTACATAGCTGATAGTTTGATAATCAGTGTTCATGTTGGTTGATGATTAATGGTAAGTTATATATATATAGTTAGAGTTAGACTTGAGCAGGTTAAATAGCATTACATAACAAACAGTCTGTTGGACCCTAAAAATATATATATTATTTTCGGATGTTTTTTAATTCAAAAATTTTTACTCGCGCGAAAGAATTTTATCGCGATTTTAATCAACCTTTAATGACGCACGATTAACACTTAATTGTTTTTTATGGGATTTATATAAATAAAAAAACTGTATATGTATGCGTATGTGTTTTTTTTTTCTTAAATCATCTTCTCCGGCCGAGACTAAGTTATGAGGTGGCAACCCTATTTATAACCAAAATTACAAACTGTTATAAATAACAATACAAAAGAAATAACAATACAACAATACATCGCGTGACAATTAGACTGAAAAGAAAAAATAGAAAGATAACACAAGGTTAATATTATCCAATATAATGATAATGTTTATATTCTTATAAGTAAAATACATGAAAAACACGAATGAAAAAATGGCAGCGAATGGTCGACGTATACAAAATAAATTAAATAAAAGAAAAGAAAAAAAACTAAACAATTACTTGCAAAATATTAAAAAATTATTTAAAATACGCCCAAAAGCGCCGACCATAAACGCTGCCAACTCCCAAACACTAAGTCGTTCACTTAAATAGTCAATTTACACCTCCAGGTGGTAAGCATCTGGAAAAAAAAGTTTCTTAATCTTAACAAATAAATAGTCAATCATTTAACTTAGTTACAAAACTATAATATACAATAATATTTATCCCAGTCTTGTAACAACCGTTTATATGCTTGAACCGAAAAACAATCTTCACCAAAACACTTTTGTCTGACTGCTGTCAGCGCCTAACATTCCGTTATTACATGAAAAGCGTCAAAATTAACAGTAGTATTACAAAATTCACGGTACTCCATACATGGACTTAACATTCTTCTAATCATATTACATCGCACATATAATATTGCTTGTGTAATACAAAAAGGTCTTTCTATATTCAGATAGGTCATCGATCCCCATTCATTAAAAACATCCAAATACCATTTATTATATTTATAATTAACCACCTTGTACTTAAACTCAGTTATATAATTACTAGCAGGTGGGCCTGGCGTTGCTCGGGCAAAAGTAACGATAACTAAGATAAAGATTATTACGTTACAGTCAACCTTACCCGTTTTCACAGAATGCAAGAATTGGGTCCCCTTAGAGAATTTTTAGATGGGTCTAAAAATATGTTCGATTTCCCGCAAAAACGAAAAAACTGCATCTGCGTATCGCACGTCGCTTTCTCTTAACAATTCCATTGTTACGTAAGATTTCCATTGTTGACACTTCCATTGTTACTTAAAACTT